GTCAACAGATGTGCTTCCTTATTAAAATATTTTTGGGAGTCCATTGGAGTGATTAGAATGAAGATAATCACCACCCAGTGTGAAGGACAAGCTGGGGCATTAGACTATGGCAATTTAAATACCCATCTTTTACAGAGACTGGGAATCTATGGTTCTCTCACCACTCTCTGCTCAATCTCCCATAATGGAAATATTGATTTATATATATATTATTTAAATGTGCAACTGGAGATAGTACCACAAAGATTTTGAGAATCTGCTAATAATTTTCCTATTTAGAAGGGGGAGAAGCTATACAGTGGTACCTCTGGTTAAGAACCTAATTCGTTCCGGAGGTCCGTTCTTAAGCTGAAACTGTTCTTAACCTGAGGTACCACTTAAGCTAATGAGGCCTCCCACTGCCGCCACGCGATTTCTGTTCTTATCCTGAAGTAAAGTTCTTAACCTGATGTAATATTTCTGGGTTAGCAGAGTCTGTAACCTGAAGCATTTGTACATGCTGTACATGCAAAAACCTCTGTAGCAGATGCTGAGAGGAATTATTACCATATAATAAGAACATAAGGAGAGCCTGCTGGATCCGGCCGATGTCCCATCTAAGTCCAGCATCCTGTTCTCACAGTGACCAACCACCATATGTCTGGTGATAGGACCATGTTAGCTGCAGCCTTAATCCCAGTAACCTGGGCGTAAGCCCCGCTGAATTCAGTAGGATTTACTTCTGAGTAGATGTAGCTAGGATTGGCCACACCCATGACAATGACAGGAGCTTCCTAAAATGTCTCCTTCCACAGAGTGTGAAGGATTTTGATTTTTTTAAAAAAAAGATTTTCTAAGAGACAACACCCAATATTGATACCAGACATTGTATACTGGAGGCTCTAAACATAGCAGCCTCCAACCATAGGCAGAGTCAAGCACCAGTGCAGCTTCCATAGTAATACACCAGCAGGGAAACACATCTGTGGGGAGGAGACAGTGAAGTGACTGGCAGCAGCAGCCGCACCACACCACATGGGGCTCTGAGAGCAGCAGTACCAGGCAGGGCCCCAAGTTGGTGCTGGATAAGGTCCCATTGGTAACACCATGACAATAGCCACTAAAGCATGGGTAGGCAAACTAAGGCCTGGGGGCCGGATCCAGCCCAATCGCCTTCTAAATTCAGCCCATGGATGGTCCGGGAATCAGCGTGTTTTTACATGAGTAGAATGTGTCCTTTTATTTAAAATGCATCTCTGGGTTATTTGTGGGGCATAGAAATTTGTTCATCCCCCCCCCCAAAAAAATATAGTCCGCCCCCCACCCCCCAGGTCTGATGGACAATGGACCGGCCGCCTGCTGAAAAAGTTTGCTGACCCCTGCAATAAAGTCTGGCACCAAGCCTAACATCCACCATGAAGTCTGTCACTCTCCTTCTCTATTCGCCTTTTATAGGGCTTGCAAAACAACTTCCATTTGACCTTCAGATCACCAGGCTGGTATATTTGCTTTATCCGTGTGGTTTATTTTGTTCTTTGCAGATTTTTTTGTAATTGTTTCATTTTTCTTGTACACTGCTCTAGGCAAACTGGAAAGGTGGCCAATAAATTACTTTTAACAAATGCGTGATGAATAATAAATGCTGATGAAGGTTTCGTATGTGGTACAAGATAGGGCACCTGCTCTTTGCCTACTAGGGCTTGTATTAAATTCAGTTCAGAAGCTGTGGCAGCGAAAATTATTATGGTGAAGACCTGTCAGTTCCTGAGCTGGAATGGGAACTCTCGGTGTAATGAGAGGGAGGCCATTTCACACTCTGCGCTTAAGGTTTTTGTTTTGTTTTTTTGCATTTTCAGCATCTGTAAATCAAATGAAGGATCTTGGTTGACAAGAGCATTCCATTTTAAAATAGTTCACTTCTCCCTTCTGTACCTTCTTAACAATATTCAGCCTTCATGACACATTCCAGACTAGAAAGGCATTCTCAAGAGTTATTTGTGAAAACACCCGGTGAGGTAACACATATCTTCCTTCCTGCTATACAAATCCTGATGCTTTCAAGAGATGCTAAAGGCTGGTTTACACATTGCATTTGAGTACACACATTTGCCGCTGTATGACACCACTGTGTGCCACTGTAGGCAATTCCACCACAGGCAGGAGGATCACACCTGACACTTGTGTTTGTGTTTGTTGTCGCTCTGTGTTTGTTGTTTTGCGTGTCCGAAGGGACACATTTTGTACATGTGTGTTGAAAAGACACAAAGTGAGAGGCAGGCCTTGCAACACCTTTTGGTCTCAAAACTACCCCCCCCCCACACACCCTGGATTTGCTGAGTAGGGATAAAAAGTAGGCAAACACCATTTTAAATTGAATACACACTCTCTTGGCTCCCCTTATTGGCTTATATAGCGTTATGTGCCCAGGGCTTTGCAGTTTAAGCAAAAAAGCGAAGAAAAAGGACAGGTCTGTAGCCCACAGACCTGGCAGCCCGAGGTCTGACAATGTAAAAAAAGAACAGAAGGAGTGAAAGGCAAAGATAGCAGCAAGGGATGAATGTAACTACAGATACACCTTCTATTGTGGCTTGAAATGAAGAAATTACAGCCAATGTTAAGGTTTAGATTTGAATTGTAAATGTGGGGCATGCAAATCCACTTTAAGCATCACTTGCGAAAACAGCCTTAACCCTTTCTCTCACCTCATCCTTATGCGTGCCTGTTATCTAGGAAGAATATTCCAGGTACTGTATGTTTTAAATTATTTAGAAATAGGTGAACCCCCAGTTTGGATGGGGTAGCATTCCCCCTTAAAAGCAGATTTACTGCTTGGGGGCAACTCTTGTATTGAATACTAGTCCAACCACTAGGTGCCAAGGTCCATTCAGACCCCCCCCCCTAAAAATATTTGAGGGGGCTGGGGCATATCAAAGTTGATGGACATTGCCATTCAAATAGTGTGCGTACACCATGTCATGTGATCGATTATGGAGGGCGGGGCTTACCCCCCTTTTTTATTCAAGTGTCATGCCTGTTTCTTGAATGCCTGCAGAAAGCTTCTGCAGCCAATTGGAACCTGTGGAACCGCGTTGGACGTTCGGGTTCCAAAGAACATTCGTAAACCGGAACACTCACCTCCGGGGTTGTGGTGTTCGGGAACATTCGACTCGCAAGGCATTTGACTTCCAAGGTATGACTGTACCTTGGATTCTTCCCACAAACCGGAGCAAGATTGCACTGCTCTGGTTCGCCAGCTGGCCACATGACCTGGAAGCTGTCTGCAGACAAATGCCGGCTCCCCTCGGCCAGTAAAGCGAGATGAGCGACGCAACCCCAGAGTTATTTGCAACTGGACTTAGTCAGGGATCCCTTTACCTTAAGTGCAATATACAATGTGACACTAGATGGTGATAGTGAGCTTTATGGAAAATTCAATGTATTTTTAAAAACGCTTTAAAAACAAGCATTTTCAAAACGGTTTTTATATGCGTGTAGATTCCACCCCAGTAATTCCACGTTGCCCGTCGCAGCGCAGACTTCCTGCGCTCCTCCTGCAGCATCAATACTTAGATCACCTCCTGCCGGGGGTTTCTTCGCCACCAATTCGCCGGTTAAAAGCCTGCCTCACTTCCTTGGTTGGGTGGCTCGCCTCCAACCCTTCGAACTCGCGATTCCAGAGGCAGCATCTAAGCCGGACTGGAGATGCGCTTCCCCATTCCCGCATTCCCCCCCACACACACACACACCGTCCACCCTCAATAAATATCATGTTTCTCAAAACAATATCATCGCATGATTCAAACGACTCTGCAGCGGCTTTCTTTTCTGGAGGAGGAAACAGCAGCAGCAGCAGCAGCAGCAGCATCCCTTCCTCTAGCGCGCAGACGCGGCCTTGACGAGGGGAGCGTTAGCTGCTCTGGCTCGTCATCTCTCCAGCGCCTGCCAAGGAGAGGTTTCCAAGCGGACCTCGGGGCCAGCGACGAAGGCGGGGAGGACCCGGCAGAAGGGCCAGGGGGCACCTTTCCAACTGGCCTCCCCTCGCAGATCTAGGGTGCACATCACCGGCACCCCACCCCCAAAACACACAGCTCCTTGCACGTTGCTATGGCGGGGTGTGTGCGTGTAGCAGGGGGCAGCAATCTTCTCCACTAACTGTGTCTCGCGGGGCCAAGCCTCCTCCGCTGACAGGCTGTGGGTGGGTGTGAGTGTGCCAGGAGCTGGTGTACAGGAGGAGCATCGCAGGCTCTCATTGGACGCGCGCACAGACGCGCGCGCGCAGCCAGCCAGCCAGCCTCCCTCCCTCCTTGCACTCCAGCAGCCTGGCTGAGCTGGTGCTCCTGCTCGTCGGGCTTTCTACTTCACTGCCCGATCCTCCCCGCACCGGAAGCCTGAGGCTCCGCCTTCCTCGGCATCCAGCGCCGGGAAAAGCCCCCCTGGGCACTTCCAGAGGGAAGCGCAGCACTACGCCCGGCTGGGCAACCCCTCCTCGCCAGTTGGCGGCGGCGGGGCTGCGCGGGTTCCGTCCAGAGCAGCGGCTGCTTCGCCTTCCGACCCGATCGCGCCCTCGTCGGGCAGGAGAGGCCCCCGCGAGCCGGGATGGGCTGAGCGCCCGGGGAAGCAGCAGCCGAGAGGAGCTCGTGGGCCGGCGAACAAGTGAGTGGCCGGCCGGCCGGCTGGTTGGTTGGCGCTGCTGCTCGGGGAGGCTGTGCGCTTGGTGCAATGCAACACCGCGTGGCCGCCTGCAGGGCTCCGCGGCGGACATGCTGAGCAGGGGAGGAGCCGGCGGGAAAGCGCCAGGCGGGCTCGGCGGCTCCGCAGCAGGGCTGGAGGGAGCGGGCGCCGCCAGTTCGGCCTTCGCCTTCCGCAGCAGGTGGATCCCGCAGGCGCGGCTCCGGGGATGAGCCCCGCGGGCGCCCCGCCTCCTATCGCCCCGGTCAGCACGCGCTCGCCGCCGCCGCCGCCGCCAGGGTCGGACCCTGCGCTCCCCCCGATGGTTCCCGCCCGCCTGCTTCTCTGTGACAGGGACGTGACCTTCCCTGGCTGAGCCTGACGATGTGGGGTCAGGATGCCTCGGTGCCCCGACGTCGCCTGGCGCAACCTTGCAGGGGCGCTCCTTGGCTGCTGGCGCTGCTGCTGAGCTTGGCCCTTGCCCGGAAAGGGGGCTCGGCGGCACACTGCCCCAGCAAATGCGTCTGCGCCAGCAACATCATCAGCTGCTCCAAGGCCAACCTGAGTGTCTTCCCCCATCCCCTTCCCTCGTACGCGGCTGCCCTGGACTTCAGCTACAACCAGCTGACGCGCCTGCGGGCGGAGTGGGCGCCTTCCCCGCTTCGCCACCTGCACTCCCTGTTCCTCAGCCACAACGGCCTTTCCTTCATCTCCACGGAGGCCTTCACCAATGTCCCTCACCTCAAGTACCTGGACCTCTCGTCCAATAACATCCAGGAGCTGGGGGAGAACCACTTCAGCCACCTGGTGAAGCTGGAGGTGCTGCTGCTCTACAGCAACAAGATCTCCAAGATTGACCGGACGGCTTTTGAAGAGATGACCAAGCTCCAGAAGTTGTACCTGAGCCATAACGCCATCAGCCGCTTCCCCCATGAGCTGCTGAAGAAGGACGAGGGAGGCTTCCCGGAGCTTGCCTTGCTGGACCTCTCTTGCAACAAGATCAAGGATATTTCTGTGGACGAGGTGAACAAGCTCCCAGCCTGGGTGAAGAACGGCCTCTACGTCCACGGAAACCCCCTCACCTGCCAGTGCTCGCTCTACAACCTCTTCACCCACTGGCAGAAGCGGCAGCTGAGCTCCGCCACGGACTTCAAGGAGGAGCTCAAGTGCTTCCTTCAGAAAGACAGCAGAATCATCAAAATCTCCAGCCTCAGCGACCCAAGCCCAGGGGGCTTGAACTGCAGCGAGTTCAAGGAGCAAGTGCTGGAGGTCCATCGCGGGGAAGAGGTGATCATCAACTGCGACACGAGGCAGCGAGGGGTGGTGATCAGAGAGTGGCTGACCCCCCGCTACGAGCGTGTCCCCCAGGAGGGCGACAACAGCTCCATGACCATGCTGACCAACGGGAGCCTTCAGATCAAAAACATCAGTGTGGAGGACATGGGTCCCTATACCTGCTATGCGGTCAGCCAGGTGTTCAACGAGACCCTCTATGTGCACGTCACGGTCCACAACTACTCCTTGCACGGGACCCCGGACACCCTCAACACCGCCTACACCACGCTGGTGGGCTGCATCCTAAGCGTCATCCTCGTGCTCATCTACCTTTACCTGACCCCCTGCCGCTGCTGCTGCCGCAACGGCGAGAAGCAGGCCAGCCAGCGCGAGGGCAGCATCAACTCCTCGGTGCTCAGCACCACGCCCAACCACAACACCGGCGGGGGCAAGGAAGGGCTGAACCGGCACATGGCGCCTGGCAACGCGCAAGGCCAGAATGGCAAATGCAAAGCCAACAGCTCCCCCAAGCAGGCGGCGAAAGGGTCCCAGAAGGCAGAGCGGAAGATGTCGGATGCGGACTCAGTCAGTTCTGTCTTCTCCGACACGCCCATTGTGGGGGCCTCGCAGGGCGAAGGCGGGAGAGGATCCGGCAGGGATAAGGCAGGGGCTGAATTAGTGGGGCTGCTGTGATCGTTCTGGCACTGGGAAACAAGACGGAGGATGCAGCCACATCCCTTAAGGCATAACACTATTCTCTGGCACTGTTCTCCGACCTGCCACAGTATGTAATGGCGTTGCTTTGTTACTTTCCTCCTGTCGAGCCCACAGTCCAGTGTCGAAAACCTTGATCTCCCAATATTGCTCTTGAAGCACAGTCTTTCCTCAGCCCTCCGTTTCTTTGGAATGACATGGTTTTTCAGATCGCCCTCATGGGAACCTTTGTGAGCATCTCAGCCACAGGCAAAAGGGTCCAGCAGACTTCACTAGGTTTTCCTGCATCCTGCTGTCGCTTTTGCTTACTTTCCCTGGGTGGGGCTTTCCTCCCAAGTCTCCGTGCAGGTATGAATACCAGAAGAGCAGCCCCGGCTCATCCGCTGCAGCAGAAATGGCAGTGTCACCTTCAGAGACTTAACAATATTAGGGTGGCATAAGCTTCCATAGGTGGCAGCCTGCTCCATCGGATGTTACAAAGTGGGCCTAGAAACCAAGGTTTTTGTTCACCTTCATGCAAATTAAATCACATTCATCTCCACAGTAGCTCCAGAGATGGCAGAAACCCCAATTAGCCACGGTATTGTGGGAGTGGGGTGGAGGAAGTTGACTTTTTAAAAATGGCTCAACAATATTTTTTTTATATATCTATATATATATATATATATAAACTCTTGCTACAAACAATTATTTATTTATTTATTTATTTATTTATTTATTTATTTATTTATTTTTACAGAAAACGGAGGTTCCCACCATTACCAGGCTTTTCCAGGACATAATTCAAATAATTTTTCTAGTAAGCAGGCAGACCTGTTTTGGAAACCTCTGCTCTCCCTTTTTCCTTTTTTTCTTTTGGTGGGACTATGACAGAGATAAAAACTGAATTTTTAAAGGAACATAGTAGAGAGGAGAGTTTAGTTACGCAGTCTTTCTTCACTAGGAAGCTCTTGTTAAAACATAAAAGGAGCTAAACCCAAACCTTTTAACCTTTGTGGCACCCAAATGCAAGAAGGGAACCAACAGCCTTGGGAGCTGGCAAGGTGGGATTCCACATCCCCACTCATCCGAAACCCATCCTGCTTGCTCCAAGACGCAGCAGAAACAAGAACGTGGTGTGGCATGTCCCAGATCTCCTGCTTTCCCCTCTCTGCAGCCTGCTTGGCAGATTCCCATTACTGTGGCCACCCAGTGGGTCAAGCTGGGGGTCCAGAGCGCAGCTCTCCATCCTTGTAAAACTTCGGCAGATTTGGAGACTGTGGGAGGCTATCTAGATCTTGGAAACCCCAAAGCCATTGGGCAGCCTCTTCACCCTGCTTTAGGAGACCAAGCGGTCGACAACCCCCAGGTGCTTGATGGGGAAAGCAGCAGAAATGAAGGTGCCGCTCAGCTCCCGTCAACAGCCATGTTTAGGAGCGTTTCCACCCAAAGAGAGGCCTTCCTGAAATGTGCATGTGCTGCCTTTGAGCCTCGCCCTGTGACATACACCGCTGTATGTGACTCAGGCAGTGTGTAGAAGCAGCAGAGAAGAGGGAGAAAGACTGAGCATTCAAGATAAGTCTCTGTATTAAATATCTGGAATTGCACTGACTGTGCTCTTTGTGGGGCAGGTGGCATGACGTCACTGGAGGTGAAGCAATTGCAGTGAGAAGGTCCCTGTGCAAAGCAGGGGACTTAACCCTGCACCAACAGAGAAGGCTGAATCCCACCTGCTCTGTCCAACTCAGAATGCTCCATTGGAAATGGGTGGATTTGAAAAGCCATGTGGGGTTGCCAAGGATGGGGGAAGGCCCTTGAGACGGTCCCCTTGCAAAGGTTTCCCTTTGATCTGCATTCAGGCTCCATCAGTTTATCTGTTGGCTGAAGTGGGAAATGAAAGGGGAGAGTTCAGGGCTGGCGTGCAGGGGTGACACTATAAGCCATAAGAATGTATTGCACAAATTTGTGAATGGGTCCAAAGCAGCGATAAGTCCTGAAGAGCACAGCTCTGTGCTATAGCCATATGATCCCTGCTCACAGCCCTGAGGCTCATTGCAATCAGTCAGTTAGGGAGATGCCCAAGAACAACCAGAGCCCAAAGTGAAGATGGAAGTCAGCTGTCAGAGGCAAATCTCCCATCTTAACTGACTCGCTCTGGGGCTTCTTGCTTTCTCTGGCATGTTATTGGGAAGGAGAAGTCCTCTAATTGAAGCAGCAGTCCAAGTGAGGTGCCTGCAAGCCAGAAGAGGGAGGAAAAGGAGAGGCTGAGGAATTAATAGAATGAGATGAATGAAATGCGAGGATGGTGAAAGCAGGGAAAGTTTAGCAATAAGACAGCTGATTTTTATAAATCTGTGGTTGAATTCTCTCTAGCTCACCTGAAACCGTGGTAGGTTGCCATGTTCCGACCCCCTTCGTCCCTTTACAGATCTCTTCTGTCAATCTGTTTTCTGAGCAAAATCAGAACTGTTTTAGAGTAAGGAAAAGACAGGACAGAGTTTTCCCTGTGCATGTTTGCTGGATGAGGAAACATATCAACTAGGGCTGTTGATGTAAATACAAAAAAATTGATGACCTTGTACTGTAACAGTATAGGCTACATATTTATTCATGCTAGGACATTTAATAGCTGTGAAGCTCTTATACTTCTCGGGGGGGGGGGCGTTCAGGGAACGTGAGAGCTCCTTTTGGGCTACCTGTTGACTTCACTGCTGCTTAACCCCTTTGCTTCTTGGGCTGGAAAGATCCGTGCTGCAGATAATGAAAAAAATTCACAGATTGCACTCATAGCAGAAAGCTATCTGCATTCCCCATCTGCAAGCTCTTATAGATGGGATGAAGGGAGAAGGGTTTGCAGCCTGAATCCCTACAGACCTCAATCAGCATTTGGGCCAAAGGGCCACAGATACATAGTGCACATGCACCAGTGTCAACTCTCTCATGCGCACAGCATGTATCTATCACATTTAATGGGGGAGGGGAGGGACATTACAAAGTTGCCTCACGCTGGATAAGACCATCTGTCCATCTAGCCAAGTGTTATCCACTTTGGCCGGCAGGGATTCTCCAAGGACACAGACAAAGGTTTCCCCAAACCTGGTACCTGATATCTGCTAATGAAAGATGTCGGGACGCGGGTGGCGCTGTGGGTAAAACCTCAGTGCCTAGGACTTGCCGATCAAGGGACTGCTTGCCAGATGCAGCTTGTCACGGTGGCCACGTGACCCGGAAGTGTCTGAGGACAGCGCTGGCTCCCGGCCTCTAGAGTGAGATGAGCGCACAACCTAGAGTCTGCAAGACTCGCGCCGTACGGGCAGGGGGTACCTTTACCTTTAATGAAAGATGCCAGGTATTGGACATGGACTTTTTGCATGCAAGCCTATGTTCTCTTAAGCAGCTGCCCAATGCCCAGTTCTTGTCTACTGGAGATGGGTGAACAGAACGCAAACATGAGTTGAAGAGAGGATGGAAGCAGCCTATGTTTCAGTATGCACATGTGTGCAAGTACGAATTAGTATGTGTGGGTACCCACACTTTTAAACCCCTGTTCAGAACACATCCTAGCCTCTAATGTTATGCTAGAAAAGCTTGGTGCTTAAGTTGTGCGAGTAGCAGGACTAACCTCTAGAACCTTTCTAGGGAAAAGGGACATGGACTAGTAGGATTGTCGTTGCATGGACAATCTGCTTCAGCAAACCCTTCCCACTCCTGTTCCTCTTTGAAGAGCCATAAATACCCACACTCGTTAATAGAGTAATCCCTTGTGATGCTTTCCCAGGATTCCTTGGTCCACCAAAGAGGAAGCAGAACAGAGGCTCTGGGATATCCCCGTATCACTGAGCTTGATCTTGGCAAATTTACTTCTTCGTGTGAAAATACCCTTGGCAGTGTGAGGCAAGGAGCCCAGAGTTTTAGGCACTGCCACATGTGACATGAACAGCTCATACTGGGCTACGAACAAGGATTCATTGGGGTGTGTTGTTGTGTTTTTTAGCTTGATCACAGGGAAATGTGCAGAAGGAAACCTTGCAAGTGTTGGTTGTCAGCAGCTGACATTGTTGGGAACTTGCTGAGGTCCACACCATTTCTTCCTTCTGAGCCTTCTGGCCCTACCACTCTTCCCCCTTGCTGTCACTGCCTGTTCTCCTGCCCACTCAGAGCACATGCGCAATGGGAAGAGGGAGCAGACGGAGCAGTATCTGCTGTGTGCCTTGCATTCTCCGTCTGGGGGGCTGTGTGATAACAGACAAAATAGGCAGCAGGGACAATCTTGTCCAAGCGTATCCCATTCCCGAAACCCAGAGCTAGCACCATTGGGAGGAGATATTTCTGAAAGGCTCGGTGCAAGAAAGCCACTGGGACCAACCCAAACATTACCTGACCTCACTGGCAGTAGGTAAGCATGAGAGAGAAGCCGGTTGGACCATTGACTACTTGTTTCAAAGCACATCAACGGTCTAGTGCAGATGTAAGACTTCCACCCCTGAGCCCTGGATCCAAACCTCCCTCCCATCTCTCCTGCACTTAACTCTGGCTTGGTGGTATTCCTGCACCATGAACCCTAACCCTGGCATGGCAATGCCATGGTGATATATAACAAAGTGCTGAATCCGAGTAAAACCAGTTCTGAGCTTTTCTCACCCTTTGATTTCATAGCTGCCCTCTTCTGGTGCCCATCAGGGACTGGGTTGTAGGCCAATGTCTTAAGAGTGGCAGGACCCCCATCCTATTTTGTGGCCACTCAGGTCACTCCTTGCACCCTCTTGGTCAAAGCAGTGAAGAAAGGAGCTCTTTTTGCTCCAGTCCTACAGGTGGATGTTGCTACGCCTCATCACTAAGGCAACCTTTTTATTCCATTGAAACTGGCACAGTCACGAGTGGATGCCACCCACATGGTTTCCCTGTTGTAAGCTCTAGGCTGCTTGCTGAAAGGGAGGCTCTGCCTGCTCTTCCACAGGGTGCCAGAACCACTCGCCTCTCAGCAAACCACCTGCTTGTGCCTGCTGTCTGTGTGCAACGTGCCACAGGGTCCCCGCTGAGAATCTAAATATGCTCTGAGTCCACACTAAGCTGCCAGGAGAGAAATATCTTCCTTCCCTTACTGGATAGGGCATCCAAAGGAGTATATATATTTAGTGGAGGTAAGAATAAGGAACACAGCTAGAAATAGCTCCGCTATGGTTGTGGGTACTGAAGTCCTCCTTAGGATCATGCACTGGGCCTGGTATTTACTTTTGTTAAACAGCATAAAGTGCTCGATCCTAACTGAAAAGAATCCCTTGATGCCACTTCCTAGCTGTTTAAAGAGAGAGAATGTGAGTGAATTCCCCCCACTGCCATAATATGCAGTGCGCTCCTTCAGACAAGCAGAAAACAAATAGGCTTTCCCCCATTTAGTTTGACCTTCTGGCTTGCTCATTAATGATTGCCATCTTTGTGGGTTTCTAAGGCTCCTGAATGTTAGGCTATTTTAGAAGGTTCATCTATTTAAACCAAGATATGCAAATCACCACCACTGGTTTCATTTGCTGTCAGCTCCCCTCCCTGCCTGCTCCCACGCCTGGGTCAGCTACCAACATTCCACATAAGCATCTTGAGGGGTTTTAGTTGAATGAGACTTCAGGGATGAGAGCTGCGCTGTCAGATCTGCAGTGGTCAAACGTGAATCTGCCCTGAATCTGTCTGCCCTACTGATAA